GTAAGTAACTCGAGTTGTTGCCTTGTGGCGAGCCAGAGTTGGCCTTTAAGAGACTGTAGCTTCGTTTAGTCGTTGGGAATGAGCTGGGTGGAAGCGTAATGTGTGAATTTTCGTGATAAATTTCCGAGTGACGCGCAGCTTGGCCAGGAGAGGTGACGCCATCTTGGGCTCGCGGAGGCTTGTCCCGAGGCCCGAGTTGGATTCCGGGTATCTTAACGACCTACTCACTCTCCTCATGGATTGAATCTGAGATGAGGCGATGCCCTGATGATTACAAGACGTTTTGCACAGAAGGTGGTGGGGAAACAAGGTTCAAAACTATTAGAAAGGAAAGATTATAAGGCGGCTGTTCCTTTCCGGCTCCTCTGAGGGCTAAAGGGCGGAGGAGGAACGTCGTAAGTTATCCTTGTAATTAGCTTAATTATTATGAAGTCGGTTAAGAGTTAGTTGTCGCCGTTTGAAAATTAAACTTCACCTGGCATCCTGTGCTGGATGTTTCCCCTTGTCCAGAGAGGTTTAGAGAATACTAATATTTTTATGGATAAATTAAGAGTACTTATATTCAGTTGTCATTTTTATGGGATTCCAATTATTGTTTATTCATGAGATGAAATATATAATTAAAATTAATATTATGGGATGGTTATTACCACATCTACATCAATGTGATTGATACATTGTGTTTCTAGCATTCAGTATGGCTTTTGTGTCTGTCTAGGGTAGGAGAGCCCAACAAATGCTATGTATAAGTTTTCAAGACAAGTCTTGATACCTCCTAGGCAGTTTAACTATCTAGAACTAGCCTGTACCTTAACTTATTAAATTTGGTACCATTGGGTTTCTATCCAATTGTACTAAACAAATGTATCAGAATTAGAACTATGACTGAAGATTCCCGAATTTACTAAGTAACTTGGGACTGAACATACAGTAGTGAGCGGTGTTTACCTCTGTGCCTGGGTTGAGAGAGCATTCACGTAGCATGGCATCTTGCTTGGTAGAAATGACAAATTTTGCATGTCAGGCTGGGGATGGGGGGGTTGGCAGCTCTTCATCCAGATGGTTTGAGGAGGCACAACCTCCAAACAATGACAATGATATAGGAATACTGTATGATCTAATACCTCCATTTAGTGATGATACCACATGCCTTTCCTACATTTTGGGGCTATTAACATCCATTGTCATTGCTTAGCAACAGTTAAATCCACTATAAGTCCATACAAAAAATCATGAGAAATCCATCAGTAATAAAATTGCTTGAACTAAATATTGCTATAAATCTAATGAGTTAGGCCAAACTTATCTTTGCGGAATTTTGTACTTGGTAGAGATTAGTTTGAGTACACTGGGTTAGACTTGGAATAGTAGTATATGCAACACAGATAGAATGTACATAACAAGACAATGGGAAAAAATCTCATCTGGAAAGTTATTACATGTCATCTTAACATTTTCCTAATGTTATTGCGTATTCTCAAATGGGATGGGTATTTAGATTGATTAAAAGTATCTGAATAGGACTTTAGGGTATATGTCTACAACTCCCTCACCTGTTCGAGACAAAGTCCAAATGAACGAACGTCATCCTAAATATATAAACAATGACGGAGATTGCTTTGTGAACCAAAAACTTTTCTATTCAACCATTGGACCCCACCCTATTGCTGTGTATCCCTAGCTCGGGACTATGCCCCCACACCCAATTTTGATTACCATTTCTTTTATACTAGTCCTGTATACTGTAGCTGGCTTCAGAATGTAGAGAAAGTTAATGTAATGGTCGTGAATTATGCATAGAGTAGCTCTACTAAATAAGCCAGCAGACATTTCCCAAAGTCCAAGTCTACAGGTCTGATTGTGGAATGCATAAAATCATGCAGTGGCTGTGGTGGACAGTGCATAGTGACATGAGCTCTTAAGTGGAAGCTTGTCTTTCTCTTGATAGTTGTGACATTATTTGTGGGCGTTACTTTTAATTATTGGCACTTAAGAATGTAACTTCACTTTCTTCATATATAAGATACAAGTATAAGTAAATACCCGCTTGATATGTAATCTAGGCTAATCTGGGATATGGCCAATGTGAGCCCACAAATTCACATTACTGGCTACTAGCCAGTTATTGATACTGCAGTTAATGAGATTACGAGGCACCTTAGCTTCTACTTCATGTTTCAGGAATGGTCAGCAATCCTCCATTTATGTTTTATCAAAGAATGGGTTGTAAATCTTACTAACTTCATTGTGAAGTAAAGAACCGACTCAAAGATCATAGCATTGCTGGATGGCCGTTCTTAAGAATGTAACTTCACTTTCTTCATATATAAGATACAAGTATAAGTAAATACCCGCTTGATATGTAATCTAGGCTAATCTGGGATATGGCCAATGTGAGCCCACAAATTCACATTACTGGCTACTAGCCAATTATTGATACTGCAGTTAATGAGATTACGAGGCACCTTACCTTCTACTTCATGTTTCAGGAATGGTCAGCAATCCTCCATTTATGTTTTATCAAAGAATGGGTTGTAAATCTTACTAACTTCATTGTGAAGTAAAGAACCGACTCAAAGATCATAGCATTGCTGGATGGCCGTTCTGATTTAAATAATTAGCCTAATCTGTTGGATCCTGATGACATCGGTGTTGTCATGTATTGTATTGAGTGGCGGGTAAGGGGAATGTGTTATCGTGAAAACATTTATGTGAGAGCTAGGGTGACAAGAATGTGTCATTGTGAGATATTATTGCTAAGTGGCAGGTGATGGGAATGTCTTGCCATGAGTGCACAAAGCTCTAGGAGGGTGATTAGACTGAGTGGGCCATTGGAAAAGGGGCATTATTTCTGCTGGTAAAAAAAAGGTGGAATGAACCATCTATGAGCATTGCCTGGAAAAGTACTCCAAAGAGGAGTTGTATATAGAGGAATTGATTACTACCAGCCTTAACCTCTTAAAAAAAAAACTTCTCTCGGGAGATTGATGGCAACATGCTGACTTTGAGCGCGGGAGTTCGGTACATTGGCGCTTTTGCACACTGCCATGGCATACAGCCGCACACCACAGATCGAGTTGTTTGTTTTGACGCCTTACGGCGTGACCCGTCGGGAAGGGGTTAACCCCATAGTGATGGGCCATGCACTGAGATATCGTAACAAATTGCTCGGTCTGTGGATTTCGGCTGTCCGCTGCGGTGCCGTGCCAGAGCACTATGAGCTGTGGTTTCAGCTTGATGTTATTGCCATTAATCTCTAGAGCATAGAGTTTTTAAAGATTTTCATAGCCTGTCAGTAAAGGGTTAATCAGCAGTGTAAGGTGTTAAGGAAAATCAAATATTATAAAAATATGAAAATTATATTAACAGTAGATTGTTACTCATTGCAATTACAGAGTTATAGACTACCTTATGAAACAATGTCGAGTCTACTAAGGGAAAATATTCTATTACCATCTTGATGCAGACCTCGGATAATGGCAAATCAGTTGATGTAGAGTCAGAGTTATGGTGTAACAAAGAGAAGGCAAGGACTTTTGATATAGTGCATGATTGGTCATGTGAGCCAGGCCCACAAGACACATACCTAGGAATCAAGTAAACCAAATGCTTGGATTTTGGTCAACCTGCAATCTGTAAGGCACCCAGATCAAGTTCTTTAAGGGGACTTTTGATTGAAATGGCCGATTTGGATAAGACATCTATAATATCTCTACTTTTTCTTACCTGCCACCAGCTGAATCTCAAATTCATAGATTTGTTGAAAAAGTGCAATGGAATGAGCATGTGAAATAATTAGAATACATAAAACATGTAATCCATGTCAAAATTACCAGAGATACTAATAGAACAAATGTTAAGATTTCTTTTTAGTCCTTGATTTGGTAATTTGTTACAATCCATAACCTAAGGTCACAAAACTTTATCAAGTCTTCAGTTATTGTGACTGGGTGTGCATTTCTGCCCCCCCCCCCCCCCCCCCCGCGATTCTTTGTCCTTTACAAAAATATCTTCAATTTGCTATAGCTTAGTGCATCCAAACCATAAAGATTAATCTCTAGTTTTATGTAGAAAGGTTAATGAAAGGAGTTATTGTAGATTATATTTCTAACTTACGAAGAAAATATCATGAAAATTCTTAATAAAAAAAATGATATGGTAGTTTCATTTGAATGGTCAACTTGCAACAAACTCAGAGAATTTACGAAAGGCTATTGTTTTCATGTATTGTGCCAAGAATTCCATAGATACTTCTTTGATCACTTCCATTTGTCTGCATTCTACATCACTTTACTCCCATTCCACTATTTTCTACATCATGGAGTGTTTTTTGCAAGATTTTTAAAGCAATAAAATGCTAGAATGGTGCTACTGTTTCAATACATTTAACTTCAAAAGAAGTGGGGTACAATATAACTTTTCTAATAGATCATGCTATAGAAGGGAAGGGGGGGGAATAAGCCTTGGGAGCACAAAAGCATGAAAAAGAATTGCAAAATGTTTAAAGATGCACCTTCCACTGCCGAGAAAGTAACATCAGCTGATGTGTTCTTAGCTATTACTTAAGTTCAATTAGTGTAACTAACTACTATTAGAATCCAATTCAGGTTATGTAAGGAATTAGCTCCAGATAAACCTGCATGGACTTTTGCTTGTTGCAAACAAGTGTACAACATTTGATAGTGACCGTACACATAGTTGTTATGTCCAAAGAACAATTTCACACCAGTATCAGAAAAATTAAAATCACAATGATTTATGATATATTTATTGACATTATTGAGAAGTTGTATGCACATGAATTATGTGCAGTAAAATGCTGTAGCTGATAAATGGGTCTGTATGTGTACCAAGTATGAAGTACTAAGGTTTTAAAAGTGCAAACAGTGATGATAATATTTCAGTTTGGTTTTGCTCTAGTGATTGGTACTGTGTAATCTCTTCTAATTGGTGTTTTGATATAGTTTTTTTTTTTTTTTTTTTTTTTTTTCCATTGTAAA